ATACTGAGCTATGCATACTCATTCCTTGCTATTCTAAAATGACCTCAATCTGGCTTGTAGGCAAAACAAACAAACAAACCCTCAAATGTCTTACCTTCAGAGCTCTGGCTTAACCATTGTTGACTGAATACTTCATTCATGTGTATTTTGGGACTTTCTTTAACAACGCAAGGAAACAGATATAGGGAATCGCATCCTGCTATTTAGAACAGGTCAGTCTGTAAGAGACAAAAGTGATTTGCTTCAAATAGGGTAAATTCCAATATCCTTGACCACTGGCCAAGATAGCTGGTTAACAGCATCATTCTAATAAAGGTCTGGAGGATTCCCCATTTGCAACATGATATCAAGTCAGGAGCATAGTAGTATCCCAGGGGATGGCATTGCCAAGCAACTTCCATAGTGTTGTCAAAGAAACTACATGGCCATAAGGTCAGTAGGCATCAAGCACAAATCAAGGGGTTCATTTCTGATACAGCCTAGCATTGTTGGTGCTAGGCTGTTAGCACACCGCGCTGGCCTCTCTTTGCCACAACCAAAAGCTAAGAAGGTGAACTAGAGCAAGAGTTTATTGTGCTAAGATGTAATGTTTAGTTTGTTTTGGGTTAGCAAGATGTGGCACTCAGTCAAGTCATTTGGATTTTTAAAACACGATTATGAAAATTAAACTCAACTGTTAATGGTTTCTAAATCACGATTCGTGTTTGTATTCAGTCACTAATTCATTGAACTATGATTCAAACGAAGTATGGGTTCATGTAACTAATGAAGCCAACATGTGTGTTTGTGTGTGTATGTATATATATAAATGTGTATGTATATATGTGTGTATAGACGTGTGTATGTATGTATATATGTGTGTGTATAGATCTATATGCATATGTATGTGTGTGTGTGTATATATATATATATATGTTTTTCTTTTAGCCAGGTTTCTCCTATGTAACCAAGATTTTTCTTTCTACAGCCCTAGGTCAGTGGAGTCACATCCACTCGATTCTGGGCTTTTTTCTTCTGGCAGCCAGCAGGCCCTATGCTGCCCTATGCTGCCTAGTGAGAGACTTATATAGATCTATTTCTGGCTCGTTAGCCATCATCAGTAAGCCACTAGGCATAGGGCTGCATAGGGCCTACTGGCTGCCAGAAGAAAAAAGCCCAGAATCGAGTGGATGTGACTCCACCTAGGGCTGTAGAAAGAAAAATCTTGGTTACGTAGGAGAAACCTGGCTAAAAGAAAAACACACATAAAACCTATGAAAAGGAAGAAAAAAGTAAGATATATATATATATATATATATGTATGTGTGTGTGTGTGTGTGTGTGTGTGTGTGTGTTTTCTGAGGTTTTCGCGGGTGTTCGAACGCGAAGCCAAACAACAGCAACACAGCCCACCAACTCAAATCCCCCTGCAACTCAGACAAACCCGAGCACAACCAAGCCCCCACCCAAACAGAACACCCTCCCATCCAATCAGAGCACAGCCAACCCCCCATCCAATCAGAGCACAGCCAAGCCTCCAACCAATCAGAAAACACCTCCACCCAATCAGAACACAGCCAAGCTCCCACCCAATCAGTTCACACCCCCACTGGCAGTTAAAAGGAAGAAACAGCTGCGATCACACATTGCTCCTAGAAGCACAAAGCCAAAAACACCAGCCTGAAGATGACGAATGAGACTTCGTCGAAACGTCGCCAAGACACTTCCAATTTTACGTGGGAGAAGACCCGGATAACCAAAGACCTACATACAAACACCCGCGAAAACCTGAGAAAACATATACACACACACACACACACACACACACACATAGATATACATATATACATACTGTGTTTCCCCGAAAATAAGACCCTGTGTTATCGTTTTTTGAACCCTGAAATAAGTGCATGGCCTTATTGCCATGAGCTCCAAAGCCCAATTAGGCTTATTATCATGGGATGTCTTATTTTGGGGGAAACAGGGTATATACACACACATACAGTATATATACACATATATACATACATATATTACATACATATACAGTATATCTATCTCTATCTGTCTGTCTGTCTGTCTGTCTGTCTGTCTGTACACACAAACACACACGTGTGTGTGTATCTGTGTGTGTGTAGTCCCAACAGTGTAGATCAGGGCTCTCAAATCATCAAGCGTGCTATCTCAGGGTGGGTTTATTAGCTCAAGGGCTGAAACATCAAAGCCTTTTTAAAACATAGATATGAAAACAATGAGTTAAAACCAAAGATTATAATGGCAGGCCATTAAACATAAAAGTATTGAAACTATAATAGAGCTATTTACAAAGAGAGACATTTCACTTTGGCTTCTTAGTTGGCAGTGTTTTCCACAAACCAGAATAGCAACATTCTGTCTTAGTAGTTAATTCTGGTTATTTATATATTTTTTAAAGATCATATTTAGGTTGATACAATCTAAGAAATTCATGCAATTCATGCTTTTTGGTTTCTTCTCATTCTTTGCTGACCAGAGAAAGCTTTCTTTCCTGGGTCTTTTTCTCATTTGCTTCTTACCCTGCCTAGCAGTGTCTTTTTTTTTCTCCTCCCTTGGACTAGTAGAGAAAGTTTGTTTGCTTATTCAATCTCATTTCCAATCAACTGCAGCAAAACCCTCATGGTGGGGCAACTGGACTTGGTCTCTTGTGCAGCCATTGCCTCCTTCCCATCCCTTCCACCAGTGGTGGGTTGCTCCCAGTTCGGTCCAGTTCTATAGAACTGATAACAAAACCAGCAGGAGGTCCGCCCACCCGCCACAATGTCATCATGGGTGATCTGTGCACGCACAGAAGCTTCTGCGCATGTGCAGAAGTGTGTATACGTGCGTGAGCGAAGCGAAGGGCGCACGCGCGCTCCCGCTGCGATCCGGCAGTAAAGGTAAGTGGAACCTACCTCTGCCCTCCACCCTGTACCACGTCCAGCCTCCTGACCTGCCTTCCCAGAGCAAGCTTCATTGTCAATGCCTGGAGGGCCCAAAGCACTCAAGAGGGCAGCACTGCTTGATGCAAGATGCTTCAGGACATTAAATGTGCAGCTACCAGCCAAGCACCCCGATGTTGTCAAGAAAGCCACCAAGTCAATCTGAGGCCACCTCTTCTAGCTTGCTCCCTTTCCTGGAACATTTTCTATACACCAACTTGTGTATCTATGCAGCACCCAGGTTTCATTAGGTAGTGTCCTCAGGACTTATAGAGTATTTTTGCAGCCCATGAAAAATGACCTGGAAGCTATATGTGGCCGATGGGCCACAAATTTGAGACTCCTGCTGTCAATGGTGCTTTTAAAAAATGAGCCACCAAAAGAGTTCCCTGCCTCCCAAGGCACATGATCAATACTTCAGCAGGTGAACAAATGAAGGATGTTTAAGGGAGATAAAGTCAAAAGAGTAACATAAACAAGATCTGAAAAGAACCGTGATGCAAGTAGACCTAGTATAAAGAGCAGAATTGCTCTTTAGGCCGTTTTGCGCTTGTTTTTAATGAAGGATGAGAAAAACAACAAATCATCTGACTCACAAATGGAAGTTATGGATATGCGTGTGTGTATGTGCGAGCCAAATGTTCTTCTGATGAGCAGGTTCACTTTAGACCCACTGATTGGCAGGCAGAGGGAGAAGAAAATCGGCCTGGCGCGACAAGGCGGGCTGGCACACAGTGCGGGGCTGGCCGCAGAATGCAGAGCCAACAGCCCCTTCTGTTCATTTTAATGCCAGGCCTGGCATCAGAGAGGCAGATGAGCCAGCCGGATCGAAGACTTAATTAGGTCCCTCTCAAGCAGTGGTCTCTGTTTTTTTAGCACTGTGCAGCGTCACCATCCTCCAAATGGCTACAGCAAGCTGGGGCACAGAAAACATTTTTATGCGCAAGCAACAACGTTCTCAGCCCACCCTCCCCTCCCCGCCCACCCGCGCACACAGATTCGTGCATTCTTGTCACACATACATTCATGCCACTGAGAAACTTGCTGACATGGAGCTCTGTGGGATCTTAAAAGCACGCTCTGAAGATACTTCAGTTCTTGTTTTAAATCAAATAAGGCTCTTGTTGCTTTTTATGTTATGAAGCCCCAAGTAGCTGTAAAAGTGAAGGCTCAGCATAGCAGACACTGCCTCCTGTGCTTCCCTTCCACTGCACGAACCAGCATCATTCACACTGGAATAACTTTGGTGGGACACCGCAAAGAAGCACAGTGAGGCAGCTTTTCACGATCTGGTGGGACCAAAATATTAGGAGCCTCTCTCTCTCCCTCTCTCTCTCTCTCTCTCCCTCCCTCCCTCCCTCCCTCCCTCAGGGCTTTCTATTCTCTTACTTTCTCAGAATGCTACTAACAAAGCTCACTTTACAGGGAAAAGTACTTTAATACTGCGCTTGTACAGGTAGGCCTCAACCTCAATCAGTATGCTGTGCTATGTTTTAAGAGGCCATCTTGGGCCATTAAGAAACAAATACGATTTTGAGAAGTACCAAACGTTGACCAGGTATTGGTTTAAAGTCAATAATTTAGATTACTGACCAATGTACGTAATTTGAAGCAGATGCCAAAAACAAATTATAGCTTGAAAGGACTAAAAATAAAGTCAACACTTCAGTGCAGGCAAGCCACACTGATAAAGGCGGACCCTGTTAGCTTTTTGCAAGGTTTTTTTAAAGACATGGATGTTTCTACAGCTATCTGAGTCAGGCAGGTAGATGAGCTCTGTTGTTAACGGTGTGCATTTTTAATAAGTGTTATTTATTAATTTATTTAGGAAAATATATACAGCCGCCCACTCACTCTCAGTGACTTTGAGCGGCTTAGAAAAAAAGTGGGGGTTATTCAGGGGTGGGTTCTACTTATCTTTACTACCGGTTTGCAATGGGAGCGCACACGTGCAACTTCTGCGCATGCGCAGATCGTCAATTATGATGTCTGGGTGGGTGGGACAGAACCGGGTGCAACCCACCACTGGGGTTATTGTTGCACTTGGGGGTGGGGTGTCATCTTGTGAGACTCCAGACTAGAAACACACTCAGGATATTAACAATATCTTTATTGTAAGGTTACATTGACAGAATCTTGCGGGCTTGAAATTATATTTCTCCACTCACTTGGAAGAAACTAGGAAGGCTCCCTTCTGAGCCCTTTGCCATATTCCATTCATTTTGCCGGCTCATCTGCCTGTTACCTGACCATTGCCAAGTCTGTGGCTCTTCCTCCTGCCTCCCAAAGTCATTCCCACATACCATTACTTTGAGGTAAGTTGAGCAGCCTAAAATTTGAATGAATTAATAAATAAATTACAGGGTTATGTGCGGTAGGTTTTTTGCATTTCAATCTTTGCAATTCACTTGTGTGAGATGGGTGGCTATATAAACTACATAAATACATAAATAACATTTGTCCCACTCCCTTGCATGCATACAATATAACCAACAATGCAACACACATGCAGGAATGGGGTGCTGGATAGAAGCTGTTTGTGGATCTATTTCTGTCAAAGATGCAGTCCTAAAAGCGTTTTCTCCACTTCTCAGTCATCTAACAGTATTGCAATATTTGACATGCTCTGTTTTTGTCTTTCAATCTGTCTACCTCCATGATGTTTAACCGATCAAGTTATTCTTCTTCTTCGTGTGGAAATACTGTAACGCATGAAGCTTCAGCTGTCTAAATTCTATTAATATGTCAGGCGAGTAGCAGTTCATCCCTTCCCTTCCCAACAGAAGTGGACAATGTGGAACAGTAGCCTATCTATACACTAGTCAGAGGAAGCGGGTGGGTTCATTTAAATGCTGAGGGCCTTTTTCTAACAGAATATATCAATCAATAATGATGTCGGGTACAACTGTTATTTTTTAATATCCTGGCCAACAGGTGAGCAAGCTAATTAAAAGGTAACCCACTTGCCTGTGGCAGAAATTTCCAACAATTTGTCTGGAAATTGCTTTGGCAATACTCCAGAAAGAGAAAGGGTGCTTTTAGATGAGGCTTTTAATATCTAATCGCCCTCTCACATTCAGAGAACTTTATGGAGGCACGAATAGGGAAGAGGTGAGCTTTCATACAGTGTTGCCCCCCTATTTGTAAGCATTGTTTTAGTCTTTTTGTCTTTCCTGAAAATCTGCTATGGAGGGGGCAGGGAACGGAATACAATAAGTACCCATACATTCTGGTTAAGACATCTATAAATTGTTGGTCTGGAACAGTAATGTTGACTCTGCTGGCGCCTCTCTCTCTCTCTCTCTCTCTCTCTCTCTCCCCCCATCCCCCCTCTCTCTCTCACACACACACACACTGAACAAGAGAAACAATTCTCTTATAACCACTACAACTGGAACACTAATGTTGACTCTGCTGCCCCCCCCTCCCTCCCTCCCTCCCCCTCCCTCTCTCACACACACACACTGAACAGAAGAGAAACAATTCTCTTATAACCACTACAACTGGAACACTAATGTTGACTCTGCTGCCCCCCCCTCTCTCCCTCACTCCCTCTTTCTCCCCCTCCCTCCCTCCCCTCTCCCTATCTCTCTCTCTCTCTCTCACACACACACACACACACTAAACAAAAGAGAAACAATTCTCTTATTACCACTACAACTGGAACACTAATGTTGACTCTGCTGCCCCCCCCCCTCTCCTCCCTCCCTCTCCCCCCTCTCTCTCTCTCTCACACACACACAATGAACAAAAGAGAAACAATTCTCTTATAACCACTACAACTGGAACACTAATGTTGACTCTGCTGCCCCCCCTCTCCCTCCCTCCCTCCCTCCCTCTCCCTATCTCTCTCTCTCACACACACACACACGCACACACTAAACAAAAGAGAAACAATTCTCTATTACCACTACAACTGGAACACTAATGTTGACTCTGCTGCCCCCCCTGTCTCCCTCACTCCCTCTTTCTCCCCCTCCCTCCCTCACTCCCTCTCCCTATCTATCTCTCTCTCACACACACACGCACACACTAAACAAAAGAGAAACAAATCTCTTATCACCACTACAATCCATTTAGGCCACCCGGAATAGCGGCACTCAGCAGCAGCAAAAAATGCCGGGCATGAAGTAGAGGGCTAGGCCATGACTTTGGCCCTAGCATAAAGAAGGACTCTCATAACTCAAAAATAATCTTACATCTTTCTGTGTGCACTGTATCATCCCATAGATTTTTCATTAATACACAAATCTGGGGATCTCGAAGGCTATTCCAAAACATTTATGTTCTTTCCTTTAAGTTCTAAAAAGTTGTTTTGGAAGTCGGTTTTTTTCACTGACTAGAACTTTTAATTCCTACTAAATTGATGTTTTTTTGAATCCATCCTTAATTCCCTCTGGACCATATTTCCTGTGCCACTGGCAGCACATAGCCTCAAAGATACAGTACCTGTCCCTTTTTTCCTCCAAATGTATTTTATGTTTGTTTCGTTACTCCAAAGCACTTTATTCCAAAGCACTTGAGGCTTATCGTGTTTTCTTTTGCATATTTTAAATCATGATTTTTATGATGAGGTTGGAGAAAAGATTTTCTATTGAGAACTTTCCCATCAAATCATTGTTCTATATGCAATGTATACTGTGAATCTGTGGAGAGCTGTTCAGCATCAGCTAAACTTTTCAGCAAGGCATTTATAGTTACTATGGTGTCTGTGTTGTAGAGGTGACCAGTCTGGGGGCAGGACAGACAGAGGCTTTTCTTGGTCTTCAAACCAATGTTCTACAGAAAGTGAAGAAACTGCTGAATATTTAAGCAAAACAACAGTCTGAAACATTATCTCCAAATTATGCCATATTGACAAGAAAGAGATAAAGGTTTTGGAATAGTATTCATAAGGAAGATTCCTTATGAATTAAGATTCATAAATCTTAAAATCTTATGTGGGTAAGTGCCATTCTCTCCAGCAACACCAAGATCTCAGTCTACCATGTTTTCTAGCAGGAACAGCAAACCAGGATTGTGGAATTGTTAACTGTGAAGGTTTAATAGATGGTTAAGCTCACAGGAGGCCCTCTGCTGATTTCTGGAGGACCTCAGTATGTTCGTCCTCTACTAAGTCTACACCACTTCCTTCTTCTTTTGTTTCACTCATCTCCTTTCGTGTTGAAATGTATAAATTAGGAAAGGGTTGCTAGTCACTCTGCCATGGACTCACCTCTGCAGCCGTGTTCACCAAAATATACAGAAAAGGCATTTCTGAGTTTGCCCAGACAGACAGAAAAAAAAGCCGCCTCAGTTTAAAAGCAAATGAAAATGAAAAGAAAAAAGAGGCACAGGGGAACTAAAACCACTGAGTATCTATAGGATGATTATATAGGATATGGTAGGAATTAAAGATATATTACATTAGGAAACCAGCAAGCCAGGGAAAGCATGATCTTGCCAAAAATTGACAAAATGTATTACATCCTTAAACAAGCAAAACAGTATTTGAGTACACCACTAATGAAGTGTGCTGCAAGTTTCCAAGTTCTAATTATTAAATTTTCATCCAACAAAATGAGCATTAAAAACCCACAGAGAGATTTCAGTCGCATTTTGGATGGCTATTTATATGCACTGAAATACTAGTTTACCGGAGCTATGAAACAGAAACTAAGAATGCACAATAAAATATACACATGAGAATTTCAAATAAAATCACTTCAACCCACATTGGTAAAATAATTTCTCATTCTGCCTTTCTTTGATCTCTCTGTATAGTGAGAACAATGCATAAACATGTGGACAGAAGAACCAGAGACTCTATGGTCTGGAGTAATGAGAGGCTGAAGACAAAGGATTAGGGTTAGTTGCTAAAGGGTTGGCCCATATTATGACAATCCGAGTTCCTCCCATCCTCTCTTCAAAATAATTTTACAATTCTAACAATTCTTGGTTTAATTGATATTTAACACCATGTTTAAGGAAAAGATTTTTGTCAGAAAAGGACAAATTCTGTCCTTCACTTTGAGCTGTAGCAGTCCAGTCATATTGGCAGCAATCTCTCACACTGACCACTAGCGAACTTTTACTGCACTACTATTAATCTTCTCATCATTCCCACCACCTTCCACTTATGACTGTATGACTGTAACTTTGTTGCTTGTATACTTACGAATTATATTGATATTGTTTCCTGATTGCTTATTTGTACCCTATGACTATCATTAAATATTGTACGTTATGATTCTTGATGAATGTATCTTTTCTTTTATGTACAATGAGAGCATATGCACCAAGACAAATACCTTGTGTGTCCAATCACACTTGGCCAATATAAAATTCTATTCTATTCTATTTACACTCCTTCTCCATTTTAGTATAGCATTATTATTGTTGATGTTGTTAAGATTTTACAGATTGCCCAATGCCAAAATAACTGTGGGTATCTTATGCTTAAAAATAGAATGCAATCAAAAGAACCTATGTTTGGACAAACCACACATTATATAGCATTGCAAACAATTAACTGGGGCTCCACAAACATCCTACCCCAAGACCTAGGAGAACAGCCACGTTTTAAAGACTTCTGGAACTAATCAGAATGGAGAAATTATGTTTATCTCTGGGCAATACCATTCCAGAGGACATGCACCAAACAGAGAAGGCATACTTCTTGAGTCCTGATACAGGCCATTGTTTAATTGATTAATATACAAAAGTGGCACAACTATAAAGGGATACCTTTCAACATTAGACGCTGCTGCTCTGCTCAGCTACATGATGCTGACTTCAAGGACCATATATGCTTCCATGTGAGAACAGCAACGGAATGTTCAATGAAGCATGCCAAATTGTTCTCAGGGCAAAGCATCAAATACTTTGCAATGCAGTATGACACCCCCCCCCCTCCAATGGCCTGCTGAACCACTCACATCAAAAACCTCAATGTTAGGACCAAAAGAATTTAATTGATAGACATCAAGGGCTACTTTACTTATTCTTAGATTTTCAGGAGGCATGAAAAAAAAATTATACGAACCATTGTTGAAGTAGAGAAATTAAGGAATCGCACAATTGTGTAAATGATCAGAGTTCTCCCCTCACACAGGTTTTGCCATGAATGAAGATTGCATGTAAAGTTAAGAGTAAGAGATAGAATGTTTATACAATAGTGACTCAACTTATAGCTGGTTAGATACCACTCCTCTCTTGCTCTAACTTCAGCTATGTAATGCAGATTGCAAGACCTGTATAGGCTCCCTTGTGGGAACTGCAAGTAAATGGTTGATAAAGCATGTCAAATTGTTTGCAGGGCAATAATTGTGTCAGGATAAGGGGGACAACCTACACAAAAACCTGAAGAACTAACAAATCAACTCTAGGAATGGCTAGGATTAAGATGAAATAATTGTCATTAGGCTATGACAATGAACAGGAGTTGTCCATAATATATTACAAAAAGTAGTGGTTTATCCCTCCTCAAGATTCATTACTCAATTAATCTTAAATATTGCCCAATCTCCAACCTTTCATGCTGGGAAAGGTTGTGAAGATAATTAGGGAAGGCTCTGGGTGGAGTGGATACTGTATTTTTCGGACTATAAGACGCTCCGGACTGGAAGACGCACCTAGCTTTTGGGGAGGAAAACAAGAAAAAAAATCTACCTCTGCCTCCCAGCAATTTGCTTCATTGCAGCAAACAGCCTGGTCAGCTTCAGTACAGCCTGATTTAGCATGAGCAGCTGACTGGTGGTTGGATCTGCCTCCCGGAATACCACCTATCAGCTGTTTCAGGCTGCAGGGATCGCCACCGCCCATCGCTGCCGATCGCCGCCACCATCTATTGCTGCCTCCGCACACCCCGTTTTCAGCCTCCACGTATCCCACCTATCCCTGCCATCTGGAATGGGCCGAAAATGAGGCACGCGGAGGCTGAAAATGGGGTGCACAGAGGCGGCGATAGGTGGCAGCGGCAATGGGAGGCGACAGTGGAAATGGGTGGTGATGATCCCTGCAGCCTGGAACAGCTGATAGGTGGTATTCCGTGAGGCAAATCCAACCACCAATCAGCTGCTTGTGCTAAATCAGCCTGTGCTGAAGCTAACCAGGCTTTTTGCTGCTTGCTGCCAGGAGGCAAATTGCTGGGAGGCAGAGGCCGAAAGATGGGGGCCGGCAGGTGGGCAGGGCTTTGGCAACATTCACACTATAAGACCACAGACATTTCCACCCACTTTTTTGGGGGGGGGGGAGTATGTCTTATACACCGAAAAATATGGTAATCTTGGTCCTTGTCAGGAACAAGGAACAAAGAACAACACAAGGAGTTACTTTGGAGCTGTATCTTGATTGTTGCTTGCCTATAGACAGGAATCTTGCCAGACTAAAGCACAAATCTGCATAAGTATTAAAAATACCCTGTGAAAGGGTAGGAACTGTCCTCCCTGGCTCTATTCCTGCATACCAAAGATTCCATACTGATCTGCCTCTTTGCTTTTTAGTGACTCTGTATACATTCCACCTCAGTCTTTCTGGTCTAGGTTTAAGCCTTGGTACTGAATGAAAACTGCACTGATTGCTCTTGTGGAAGACTTATAGTGGGACTAGGATGAGGAGGAGCTGTATTCCTCCTTCTCCTACCATTTTCCATGTATTAAAATATCCTTTTGGACCACTGCAAGAATTGGAGATTGGGACATTTTTTCAGAGGTTTTACTTCTTCATGAGTGGGTGATTCCAATTAGCACTGTTTGGGTGGATAGGTTGAACCACACCTCTGTGTCAGCTCCCCAAGCCTTCATCCTCCCCATCTCTGAAACAAATCATCATGGGGAGGTATCATAAGTATGCTGAAGATAGCTACCTGAAAGTTTCTACCCCAGGCCAAGCAGGAGATGAAGTGCAAGTTTTGATCTGGTTGTTCAAACCTGGGACAGATTGGATGGGATTGGACAGGCTCAGAAAGAATTCCATCAGAATAGAGCTACTTTATTCAGAGACTCTCTAGTATAGGGGTGTCAAACTCACGTCGTCACGTTGTCGTTACGTGACGTATCGGGACTTTTTCCCCCTTCGCTAAACCGGGTGTGGGCGTGGCCAGCACATGATACATCTGGCCCATGGGCCGGGAGTTTGACAGCCTTGCTCTAGTTCTAGCTAACGCCATCTTTAGTTCATGACTGAGTAACATTCTCACTGAAGGACCATGCATGGATTCTGGATATCCCATACAGCTTCAGCTGGTTCACCATTTGCAACTTTTTCTGGGCTAACAAATCTTGGCTACCAAGATTTATGCCCTTGGTTAGTTTATTGCAATTTACTTTACATGGACACAATGGAAACTATAGCTGGTAAACAGGGTGGCTTCTTCCATCAGTTGCTGATTGATGGAACCCAGTACAGCAAAGATAGATATTTTATTTATTTCCCGCTCTTATCATTTTTACAAATAACTTAAGACAGCAAACATATCCAACACACCTTCCTCCTCCTATTTTCCCCACAACAATCCAGTGAGATGGGTTGGACTGAGAGAAAGAGTGACTGGCCCAAGGTCACCCAATCTTCTGCTTTCTGACTGGTGCCTTAACTATTAGACCAAACTGGCTCTCATTAGATCATCAGATATTGTAACTACTGGTTGCTGAGAGGCTTCTGGGACTAATTCAAAGTACTAGTTTTTTCCTATAAAAATCTTTATGATTCTAGTCATTATCTTTAGGACCGCTCCTCCAACTATAATCTGCCTGTGCAATATGTGCAAGCTAAGAAGACGTGTGCCACATTTCTATCCCCATGGGTAAGGGAAGGAACTGGCTTTTTCTAGTACATTCCCATCACTTTGGAACAGTTTGCCCCCAAGGATAAAATGGCCAGGTGTTGTTTTTCCCAAAAGCAGTATAACAGATTAGTATAGTACTTGGAAAGGAAAGAGATCCATAACAATGGCACATCTAATTGAGAGAGTGGTTACTGGGATGGCTTATTTGATGTTGTTTAATTATTGTCGGTTTTGTAGCTTTCCGGGTGATTTATTCCTATACTATGTAGGACTAGGAATTTGCAGCATATAAATATTTGTATAATTGAAATATTTAAAATATTCATAACATGGCTAGGCACAAGTAGAGTGCTGTCTTGTACACAAAAATCTATGCTGTGTTATTAAATCAGCAGTTGGACTTTTATAACAATGATGTAACAGAAAATAGAGATTTCCTCGATGTATTTGCTCTCTATTTACGGTATGTATATATGCATTTGAGATTGATTTCCTGACCTTGATGTTACTCAGTTGAACATCTTTTTAAGCTATTTATTGGCATGATGCCCATGATTAATTTCCTATTTTTATCTTTGGATCATGATCATTGTATACAATGTCTCTATATATTCATTGCCCTGTGTGTATATTCAAATGTTCATGTGCATTTTATAGCCCTGTTGTTGTCATCTCTGAAGTTTTATGTAGTAGTTTTAGTCAGATCCCAGAGGATTTTGTGGGGGAAATTGCTCATAGTACTTAGGAAAATAACCTCAGAAAATATTCCGAGACGAACTCTCAGAATCTTAGATTTACCACCTTGGCAACTTGAGCCCTTCTCAATAATTTATTTTCCTTCCTCGTGAACTGCTTCCTATCTCCCTGAAACCCAGGTGCTCCCTGGAACTTGGAGTCCCACTGGCACTATTTCCCCTTGTCTCCCTGGGCCCCGGAACTACCAAACCCACAATTCCAGGCGTTCTCTCGGCCCTCCGTGGCAACTTGAATCTTACCTCTTCGCTCATCTTTAATTTACGAGCAGGGAAAGAGAACTACAACTCCCGGCAGCACTTAGAGCTCCACCGGCCTCCGCCTCTTCTCAGCTGCCTTGAAGGCTGTTATTGTTGTTACTAAAAGATTAGTGGACCAGCTGGTTGCTCTCTGGGTAAGAGACGTCTTCTGTACTGGGGAAAGGGCTTTTCTATTTTCTCTCCTCCTTGCTTTATCTTTGTTAATTGCTCGGAAGCATCAGATTTGGGGTGCATTTGGGGAGGGGGGGAACACCCCTCCCTTCCTCTCTCCCGAGTTCAGGAGTTTTTTAACCAACTGTACTTCTTGTCGGGACAGAAATCAAAATCAAAAAGGAGGCTGTGGATGCACAGGTTTTCACTTCTCCCTGCATGAAAGGGGAGAGAAAATGTACGAAAGGCTTCAGTGGGCCTTTAACTCTGAACTTGCTGCACAAAAAGCAGGCAATTGGGAAGAGCACTGGTCGAAAAAGGGAATTTCTAACCTGATTAGCTTGAAAACTCTTTATTAACCTCCGTTTCACATCGATCTGCCCGTTTCCTTTATATACAGACAATACAGTTCGGTGTTGGGACACCCCAAATCTTTTCTTCCCGTTTTAACTGCTGGAGATATTCGCTGCCTGCGATCTTTCGCTCCTTTCTACTAATCTAACTTCGGGATCCATCTTGACTCCCAAAAGTCTGCCCCCCTCCCCCAGCCCCCAAATCCCCTCCCATTCCCAAATCCTAAACGTAACTGCGACGAAGCTTCGAGGTTCGCACGATTTGGTGTTTATGTGGGAGAACTAGGCAGGACGTGATGAGACTTGTGGCTTCTTGCAAGCTTACAGTCATTTTCTTTGTTTGGCTTGAAGCTGCCCAGTCTTAAACCGTGTGACGCCAAGAGGACGGCGCCTTTGCAGCAGAAGAGTTACAGCTTCCCCACCAGCCCTAAACAAGGAGGGGGGAGGGAATGAAGAGCTGCCTCCATTCCCTAAAAGTCCATCAGAAACCGGGAAGGGAGGGGAGGGTCTTTGCGCAAACCTCGCATCAGGCCAGCGAGGCGCAACATCTTCCCACGCCTCCGTCGCCTCTTCCCATAAGCGGCTCCCCGATCGCTAGTTTGTTTTGCTGGGCTCCTTCTCGGTCTCTGATTGGCGTTTGTCTTGGAGAAGCCCCGCCCCGAGGTTCTAGTTGCTCCCGGGGAAAGGAATGTAGCAGCAGTGCCGGGAGCTGCCAGGCTTGGGTTTCGTGCCCACGTGGCTCGTCTGGGTCACGCGGGGGAGGGGGGAAGCTTCTTCCCTTGGCATGCGGTGGAGAGGAGAGAGACTGTCTAGTGCGGGCAAGCCTGGCTCCACCTGGTTTCATAACAGGCCTCTCTTGTGAGGGAGGTTTGCCACGTCCGAGCATTCCCCACTCTCCCAGTTTACACTAGTAATATGGAAGCCTAAGAGGTCTTCACAAGAACGCCCTTATTTATCTGAAAGAAAAAAGATTCCTCCGTTCCCCCGAAGGTTAGACAGAAAAATATCTTCTCCCTTTGCTGTATTCTCAGCTTATGTAAGATCATCCCTTGTTGTAAATATAAATTATCTGCAAGGACAGGAGGATTGGTCTTTCCAGCTGAATACTGCAGCTGGGGAGGTGACAACGAGCTCTCCCTTTTGCCTTTGAAAATAATACAAGAAGCTGAACATCGGGTAGAAATGTGGAAAGAAGCACCACTGCCGTATCTCCATGGTTAAAACCGGGAAACGGGGCATTGGTTGTCACAAGATGTCGTAATACCTAGTAACTTGAAAAGGCAATTAAATTCAGAGAAGGTAATCATAGGAGTAATTAGGAAAAAAGGCCGAGTTTAATGTTAACATTCAAGAAAGACAGCATAAAGCGAAAACTCAGCCACCCAGAGTTGCATATGTATGTGAGATGGGCAGCTGTACAATTTGAATAAATAAAAAGAATGGAATAATAGAGCTTACGAAATGATTGGTGGCCACAAGCCGCTGTAATAACATTAAATGTCAAAAATGCCAAGATGAATAAAATGTGAATGAAAAAGGATTTTTCACTATGCATCTTGACTTTAATGACGGGGAAATCCTCTAAAGAGGAGGCTGTTTCTCAGGATGGGAGTCTCAACAGAAAAGCTATTCTTGTTTCTTGATACCCAATAAATGTCCATAGGATGCAACAGAACCAACAGCACATTGTGCGATCATCATGGCCATTAGGCAGAATTCTTTGGGAGAAAACACTCGGTCATCCTGATAGGACATAAAAATACAAATAACTTTAATACTATTTGCTTTCAAAGCAAGCAGTGTCACACAAAGTCCAGAAAAGGAATAAGCTGCAAACAAAATAAATTAAAAACATGAGATAAGAAAGATAGCTAAATAATTCTCCATTTCTCTCTATCTTACAAAGCACCTTTGTTTTTACCATATCCATACAATGCTTGGTTCATAGTGTGTTTTGTACTCTAAATCTGTCATCTGTCATCTCTCTCTTATCAGCTCTATGCAAATAACAGTTTTTTGCATCTTCCCCTTCTCAATTTATTCTTCCATGTTACCTTGATTCACATTCATTCTTTCTATATAACCAGGCTACCAAATGTACTTCTTTCATACTGGTCACTTATTTTTGTGTTTAGTCCACATTCATTCATCACCTGTTTATCTTGACCCCTTATTTTTTAGTCATGTTTTCCTATACTGTACATGCTTCTTCAGTAACTCATTCCCACAACATTCAACTTTTGTGTTTCTCCTCACATGCCCTTCTCACTTCGGTGTTACTAAAACATTCCTAGGCCTGCCATTTTGTCTGTCAGCAATTTTCTGCAAATTATTTGGTGTAGTTAGCAATGTGGCATCATCTGCATACAAGTCTATATACATTTCACATCCTCAATTCACATACGTTTGATGTCATCACATGCATTATTTATACATTTTGTCCACAAATGCAATCAACTATTTTTGTCTTAATCCATGCTCAATATTAAGTATTTCATATATTCTTCTATATTATTATATGTTTGTTTTACTTTATAATTGAAGCCTATTTATTATATCATCCACTTTCTCTAAATCACCCATGGACATTCTCACATTTTTTTTCTGTTTCAGACTTATATCACATATGCCTGGCTGATTTACAAGGAGTTTACTGGTGAGTAGTTTTGCAGTAAATTACAAAGGCGTAGTGTGGCCAGTGCAAGTGCATGCAATGCTCCAGAAAATATAGGGAAGCATGACCTTGCTGATGGCTGCTCAGATTCCAGTACATCTTGAGCCTGGGTTATATACCAGGGTTTGACCTTCATCACCTGACTTCTTCGGCACCTGTTCCTACTGATTTTTCTGCTGATTCAGCTTTAGGTAATTGATTGTCACTGATTTCTGAAGCTGGCACTCGAATGGCTCATACCTCTCTGCCCAAAACACATTCACACAATTCTGATGACCTATCAAACAGCAAAAAAAGTAATCTATATGCCACCTGCAATGCATAAAGCTACACCGCATTTACAAATTTTTCTCAATTACATTTCTCACACCTTTTCATTTAGAATTTTACTAAATGCCTTCCCAGACATGCTTAACAACTAATCCCCTTTACCTCTTACAACCTTTCCCATTTATTTATGAGATTTATTTATTTACTACTACAATCTGATATGAACTATAAGTGAGTGATGAAAATAATAAAAAATTCTGGCACAGAATTTTGGCACTGATGACTCCACACATATCAGTTCATACATGTTTTCTGGAAGAGCAGAGTTTTTACAAGCCTGTAGAAAAGCATGAAATATCTCCAGTTACACCATGTAAATTTGCAGTTTTATCATTTTTCAACACTTTCTCACTTATGATTTCTTTTTCCCCATTTTTTAAAACATAGATTGTAATCTATATCACTTCAATTCTGCAACGTATTACCATTTTCACTTAAGTCTCTCAAATATCCCTTCTAGCATTTTCTCACTTCAGTTTCTTCCCAAATTAATTCTTAATCTCAGTCATTCAGTTGTAGGCCCCTTTGTTTAGCATTTTTTGTCCATTTTCAAAAGACTGTATTTTTAAATCAAAACTATTCTGCATTTCTTCTGACTCTTAACTGTGTCTAGCTTTCTTTGGATATATTCTTTGTACTATCTGATTCTCTGCATATGCATTATACAGCATATTTCTTTCATCTTCATTTTTGCAGCAATCACTCTCCTGTAAGTGTTTTTTCCGAAACACAACCTCCTTTATGTCATAATTTTACCAAGCACTCTTCTTCATACTACTGTTAACATAACTCCACCTGCTTCCATGATGCAGTACTCAGTAACATATTTATTTTAAAGGATACTCCACATTCCTTACATCCATATTCTGTTCATTCTACTGGGAAATTGATTGGTCTTCTAATACTTTTTCATAATGGATGCTACATTCTCTTCCTGCTATCTTATGTTCCACTCTTATTTCTTTCCCTTCTTGCATTATCTTCCATATCTATCTTTCATCAAAATCTACTTTTATCTCTATCCCAAAAAAAATGCCTGTCCCGCATTTCTCTCAATCCTTCATCATAAATGAATAATGCTTTAAGATTTATATTCATTCCATGGATGTATAAACAGAGTTATGTTTAACACTTGCAAGTGAAACAAGCTTATGTATTCAAAAGCAAATATGTTTAGTCCTTTGTCTAAGCAGCCATTTACCAAGATCACCATCTCCTCTGATCATCATCTCTGAATGGCACCATCCTTTTTTCTGTAATTTTTTTCTTGTTCCAACCAAAACATTCATGTCACCTAATGGAATAATTTCCCCCTTCGTTACTTTCAATCTGAATAATGCACAAGTTTTCTTCAAATTCATCTTTGGTCCTTCCGTTATCATAATTCATTGGAGCATAACATGCAATTATCACCAAACTCTGAAGTTTTACTTGCATATGAAACAGTGGTGGGTTTCAAAAATTTTTACTCCTGGTTCTGTGGGTGTGGCATGGCTTGGTGGGTGGCTTGGTGGGCATGGCAGGGGAAGGATACTGTAAAATCTCCATTCCCACCCCTCTCCATGGGAAGGTTACTGCAAAATTCCCATTTCCTCCCAATAAGCTGGAAATTGGGAGGCAGAGAATAGATGAGGGCGGGACCAGTTAGAATTTTTACTACCGGTTCTCCGAACTACTCAAAATTTCCACTACCAGTTCTCCAGAACTGGTCAGAACCTGCTGAAGCCCACCTCTGATATGAAACCTGTAACATCCTAAATAGTACTATTTCATACTTTCTGACATATGTTTTAGCTCTTTCATTCATAATTAACCTACACTTTCACTTGCATTTATTCATTAGCTGTATTCCACGGACCACTTCCTTATTCAGATCTATTGCATCCTTCCCCTTCCTTAAGTTTCACAGATATACACCATATATTGTCCCTTCCTTTTTATTCATGTTCCTTAACATGTGACATATCCTTTTACATTTCAAGTTGCACTCTTCCCTTGCCATGGCCATGGCCATTTACCCAACTTGCAGCTATGGCTTTGTACAACTTTGTACAACTATGGCTTTGACATAATATTTTTATTATATTTCACATAATGCTTTTAGTAAATTTCACCTAAGAGGTTAGCTTTAATTATATTTATGCTACTCTGCTAACAGTAATGACAGTATGGTATCAGTTTTGACATATTTTGATTGTATCTCATAAACACAACCAACATTTTTTTTCACCTCAAACATGCCCAAACTATTAGTACAAACTCAAATTAGTACTTTGCAAATCAACGTATTGTTGTTCGCATTCCACCAACTAAGAGGTACATGCAGTGTACTGATCTACAAACAGGATGCATTTTCAAGTCCCTTATTTATTAAAATTATATCGATTTCCCAATTTTGAGGCCTCCTGATTTGCTAAAAGTACAACTCCTACCACTTCTAGCCAGCCTGACTTGAACTATTCTGAAACATATAGGCCCAAAACATCTGGAGGCATATATGCTAACCACAAGCACCAGATATCTATTCTGAATGCTAGTTGCCAGGTATTACAGCTATCTTGCCACTACATGTTCTGGTTTTGACTCCTTTCAAGCTCATTTCTTGCTTCAGATGGGGTGAGATTATGTGGCTGGTTTCATCCAGTATGATTCCTCTTAATGCTCCAGAATTAATACCGAAAAAGCTAAACAGAGTCAGGTCCACATAGTTGTGGCCGTACAGATAGGAGAATTACATTCTCCTATCCCTAGGCTATAAATTCATTTCTCTGACAATAGCATACTGTTCAGGTAAACAATCCCTAATCTACCTTCTTAAGGTACGACCTCATTGGAAAAAGCCAAGGTTTTTATTCTTGTTTCTGCTTCCAAACGTTTATAACTGGATACCTCTGGAAACTTGATGTATGGAACAAAAGGGCTCCTCATCTCTCGGTTCTTGAAACTGGTACTCCAAGGTCCAGTGTTTATATACATGGATGTTCCAGTTTGTTTTATGTGTTTGATCTTGTGATTTACCTACACATTAAAAAAAGCTCCCATCCCCAACTTGGGTTTTATCCTATGTTTATAATCTTTAATCTCTTTGAGGGAAGTGGTGTTCTGACCCAGCCTTAGCAGAACCAAGAAACAGACTCCTTGTCCCGAAAAACCCCTCTTTATTTAGCTATTGTGAATTCATGGCACTCATACACTGAAAAGTCCAGGCAATAATCCTTCCAAAGGTTAATCGCAGTAACAGACCTTACAATTCCTTGGATAATTGCCAGGCCAAGAGCTCCCAGTTGCAAACTGTTGTTTTCTGCAACCACCAGTCCCCTTTTGCTTCTATTTATTCCCCAACCAGGGAGGGGCCATTCGGTGTCCATGTGTGCCTTTCTTCCAAAATCGATTCCTTGTCCTCAGTTATTCTCCTCTCCTGACAGCTCTGTGCATACGCATCTGGAACAGGCCCCAGCTGTTCTTCTTCCCCACTTATCTCCGACTCCAAAGGCAGCTGGGAAATGTTGGATGGCCCTGGCTCTATCTCTGCTTCCGACGCAGAGCATCCATCAGAGCTTTCCCCAGACTCCACGACTGGCCCAAATTCCTCCCCAACCTCCTCATTGTCTGAGTCTGCTGCCAGCTCTGCTGGCAGCTGGTGGTCCACAACAAGTGGGCAGTTTAGAAATCTAAAATATAAATGGATGGATGGATGGATGGATGAATAAATAAATAAATCTCATCTGCTGCAGTCAGGATTTGCTGGGATGATGATGATGTATGTTTGCATGCCAGGTAGGCTGATTTAATCTCTTTCTTAAAGCAGTAGCCATTGCGTTGTCCAGTGAAATTAATTTCACAAGTGGATTTTGTTGGGAGACCATGGTTGGGATTATGGGTGCATTAGTCATGAAGGCTGTAGCTCGGTTTGGCTTTCCTGGAACTCCAATAGCCAGATGTCTGCCCAGGTGCTCAATCTGTGAGCTCATATGCTCTAGCCTTGTGTTTCCTGCCTCGGGCAGAAAGTTGATTTGATGGCCTAAAATGAGGGTGAACAGAATGTAGATTTGGCTCTGCTAATAGATCTCTTAACTTGAAGTAGAGTACCAAAAATTTCCAAGTCCCGATTGGGCAACAGCAACAATAGAAAAAGACTTCTGCTGGCATAAAACCAGGCTGTTGAAACAAAGAAAGTTGCACTGAAGTGGATTTTATATAGGCAAAATTAATTCTAATGCAGTCCTGACCTGGCCCTGGCCCTGGCATGGTGCTGAGAAACATTTACTTTTGAGTATTTCAGGCCCAGCCCCACCATCATTTTGAACATCTAGTCAGTGGATTTGGGAATCATGTAAAAAAGAAAAAAGAGCTTATCCAATACTTCTGAAATCTTATTTTTCCTGCCACCTCCTTCCTTCCTACTGATTTATAAAGCAAGGCAGTTATATATTTCAAGCGTACATGTCTTACACACAAAGGTGTGCATGGGTGTTTCATCATTTTCGTGATGGAGCTTTCTCCTTCTTTTGAAAAAAAACCCCAAAACACCAGTATATCAACTCTGAAGTGCTCTGCTGTACTACAGGGTGGCAAATTGTCACATTAGGCCTGCTTGCTCCTAGCTCTCCTGGGTTGAAGGAGAAGAAGGATTGTCAAACACAGTTATATCG